CACCCTGCTGCGCCCCTGGAAGCTCTGAGCCCTTTCCCAGCCCAGAATGTCCTCCGATGGCCTCCAGGCCCACCCCAGAAGTCCCTCCTCAGTGGCCCCCGCCGCAGCCAGCACACTCTGTTTTGGGGGCCCTGGCTGCAGCCCTGTGGGTTCATTCGTCCCATGTCTGTGAACCCTCGAGGTGGGGCTGGGTCGGCCTGTCTGCTGGTGTGCCTGCCCACAGTGGCGTTTGGAAAAGCAGGAGGAGCCACATCCCTGCTAATCTGCCACAGTCCGATGCCAGCTGGGTCTCCAAAGATGCAAGGCGGGCACTGAGGGGGAGACTCGCTGGGGCAGGGGTCTGACCGTGGGGCCCCGGTGTGATGCCCACAAGAGCCACCTGCCTCCGGCTGCTCTCCCTGATGATGGAATCCACGCCCCAAGGAGGATGCCATGGGTTCCACATGAAGTTGTTCTGGAGCGGGACGTGCCCACTCCCCGCCCCAGGTCATCAGTGCTAGGGAGAAGGTGGGACAAGGGAGGATATTTGGGCCTGAAGTGGCCGCAGGTCACGACCCCACTGCAGGTGCCCCCCACTGCCTTCCCCACCCCGCCACACTCCATGTGTGATGTGCGCGAGTACACACGTGTGGTGTGTTGCATGATGTGTGCCGTATGTCTGGGGGAGGGATGGGAGAAGGCACTGCAGGGCCTGCTGTCCACCTGCGCCCACCACTCCTCTGGCCAGCACCCTGCCCCCACCCTCTGAGCTGTTCTGCTCATTCTTGGGTTCCTCTCCCTGCAACACTGCATCTTAAGCATTCACACCCTAAAGCTCCCGGCTTTAATGTCACCAACACCAGCCCCAAGGTTTCTCCCTTCGTAGGGCTCTGCTGGGAAGGTGACGCTCCGTGGCGCTCCCTCCTCCTGCCAGGCAGTTCCCCTACGAGGGGGAGGGGCTGGGGAAGGGCTATCTTACTTTCGGAGAGCAGGCAGGACAGGACTCGTGGTGACTTCTCGACCCCCCTCAGGAGTTCTCCCGTTTCCACGAAGAGATCCTGCCCATGTTCGACCGACTGCAGAACAACAGGAAGGAGTGGAAGGCGCTGGCTGATGAGTACGAGGCCAAAGTGAAGGCTGTGGAGGAGGAGAAGAAGGAGGAGGAGAGGGTGGCGCTCAAGAAAGGTCTGGCTCTGTGTGGCCTGCGGGGCAGGGACTCAGTGACTCTCCCAAGACGAAGTGAAAAGACAGGGCGCAGAGCAGAGTTAAAATGGAGAAAAGCAGAGCCACTTTCAAGCAGCCCCGAGGTGGACAGGGCCATGGTGCAGGGAGCGGGGCTACGGCAGGGGAGAGGAGCAGCTGACTCCATCTTGGTAGCAAACCCGAACTGAAAAGTTTCCTGTTCCTAGCCGATGAACCCCATTTTTCACTAAAGAAGTAACTACATGTTACATTCTTTATAAAACACATATAACAAGTTGTAACAAGTCAGCACACCCCCAAGTTCAAATCCCAAAGGCATCGTGGTCTTGCCATTTGCCCGCAATTGGCTACCTTAGCTCTGAGGTTTGGCATGCTATTCCCACTACCCCATGCTGCTCCCACTACCCCGTGCTGCTCCCACTATCCCGCGCTATTCCCGCTACCCCATGCTAGTCCCACTGTTCCATGCTGCTCCCACTACCCAAAGATATTCCAGCTACCCCATGCTATTCCCACTACCCCATGCTGCTCCCACTACCCCATGCTATTCCAGCTACCCTATGGTATTCCCACTATGCCATGCTATTTATCCCACTACCCCATGCTATTTCCCTACCCATGCTATTCCCGATGTCCCATGCTATTCCCCTATGCCATGCCAGTTCCCTACCCCATGTTATTCCCAGTATCCCATGCTATTCTTCACTACACCATGCTATTCCCATTATCTCATGCTATTCCCACTATCCCATGCTATTCCCCTATGCCATGCTATTTCCCTACTCCATGCTATTCTCACTGTCCCATGCTATTCTTCACACCATGCTATTCCCATTATCTCATGCTATTCCCACTACCCCATGCTATTCCCCTATCCCATGCTATTCTCACTACCCCATGCTATTCTCACTGTCTCATGCTATTCCCACTACCCCATGCTATTCCCCTATGCCATGCTATTCCCATTATCCCATGCTATTCCCCTACCCCATGCTATTCCCACTATCGCATGCTATTCCCACTATCCCATGCTATTCCCCTATTTCATGCCATTTCACTACCCCACGCTATTCCCATTATCCCATGCTATTCCCCTACCCCATGCTATTCCCGCTATCGCATGCTACATAAACAAGGAGACTTCAGGGCTGTGGAAGGCCATGACGAGCATAATCAGGGCACAGTGTCAACAGGGGCTAAAGCACTAAGAAAGGCTCAGCCTGGCTAATCAGCTTGAACTGGTCACAGGCCCAGGCACTGTCGTTCCTCCTGCAGGGGTTGGTAGAGGTCACACCAAGCAGGAGGGAATGAACAGGGCTGGTGTGCACAGGTGGTCCCACTCACCATCTTCCGTCTTCCCTTGCAGTAGGCACAGAAATCTGCAATGGCGGCCCAGCACCCAAGTCTTCAACCTGCTGTATCCTGTGAGCACCAGCCTGTGGGGACCCGATGGCTCCCTCAGTCTTCACCCACTAGGATGTGGGTTCTGCCTGTGGCCATTTGCTACCAGAGGTTAGGAAGTCCAAGAAAATGACTGAAGATCATTTTGGATATTTTAAATTTTTTTTTTTTTTTTTGAGATGGAGTCTTGCTCTGTCACCCAGGCTGGATGGAGTGCCCTGGCACAATCTCAGCTCACTGCAACCTCCAACTCCCAGGTTCAAGCGATTCTCGTGCCTCAGCCTCCTGAGTAGTTGGGACTACAGGCGCCGCCACCACACGCAGCTAATTTTTGTATTTTCAGTACAGATGGGGTTTCACCATATTGGGCAGGCTGGTCTCAAACTCCTGACCTCAGATGATCACCCCACCTCAGCTTCCTGAAGTGCTGGGATTACAGGCATGAGCCACCATGCGTGTTTTTATAAACTGAAGCCAACTGTGAATAAATTGTAGCTTACATTACTCATCGTTTTTGGATAGTTACCACTGGGAGGTCTTTGAAAAGGGTCAATGCATGAACTCTGAAATCACTGAGAACATTTGCAGCCACACATGTACATATGTGTATACAGGTAGACAGATGGACACAGGCCGTTTCTCATCTGGTTTAGAAAAACACACATGCTCAGAAATTCAGAATAAAATAAACAGAAAACCACTTGCCCATTATTTGTGGTAAAATGACAGCAGAAGCCACACTACATTTGACCCATCAGAAAAATTCTGCCAGAAAGGTCAAGGCCACAGGTAGAGCGGCCATCCAACTTCAGTGGTCTGAGCAGAAATGATCTGTAATGAACACCACGCAGTGTCTCTGATGGCTCCAGATGGCACCAGGAGGGGAGGGCGGGGCTGGATGCCAATGCCTGTGCACCCCCATGACTGAATATTGGTGAGCCTGGAGTAAAGGACAGAGGCAAAGAAATGGACTTCCCAGTTGAAATGGGAATTATGTTAAATTCAGGATGTTCAACTCATGATGGGAGCTCCAAAGCATTTGCTCCCGACAATGACACTTAACTAGATGGGGTCATTGGGGTGGGTGTAGGAGAGCAGCAGACATGCCCAGCACAGCCAGAGGCCTGCAGGAAAGGGGTGCTGGGTTTTTTGTTTTGAGACAGTCTCACTCTGTCACCCAGGCTGGAATGTAGCGGCATGGTCTTGGCTCAATGCAACCTCCACCTTCTGGGTTCAAGCAATTCTCCTGCCTCAGCCTCCTGAGTAGCTGGGATTACAGGCACCCATCACCACAACCAGCTAATTTTTATATTTTTAGTAAAGACGGGGTTTTGCCGTGTTGGCCAGACTGGTCTTGAACTCCTGACCTCAAGTGATCCGCCCACCTCAGCCTCCCAAAGTGCTGGGATTACAGGCGTGAACCACCGTGCCCAGCCTTCATTTTCATCTCACTGGTCAGAGATCCCTGGTATCCAGAGCCTGGGACTGGGATGAGTGGCTCCTAAGAGGTTCTGAAGGACCCTGCAACCAGCCCCTCTGGACGCCAGGACAGGATGTGAAAGCATCTTGCTCACTCAAACCTCACCTTAACCAAATGTCCTGAAAAGCTTGTAGGCTGCTCTTCCCTCTGGCCTCACATGTGCAAATGAACTCATTTTACAAACTGGGGCTCCAAGCCTAGATTTGTTCAAGGCATGTAATTGGGAAGTAGCAACTTCAATCTATCCATTGCAAACCACCAGGCCAAGGGTTAGAGTTGTTGGCAAGCTCACAGCCAGGAGGGGCGAGAAGCCCAGGAAGCCTGTTGGGGAGGGAAGTCGCTCAGGCACCACAGGACCACCTTCCTGCACAGCTCAAACAGCACTCAGGCCCTGTCCTCATGAGGTCACATCACTGGACTTTTAGTCCCAAGTCTGACCTGGCCACCTCCTGGGATCAAAGGGAGGATTTGTGAAGTGGCAGGTGGGGGCAAGGAGTTATCGTGGAGGATCCAGCTTCCAACTGTAAGGGCAGCACCAGTGCCCACCTCTCCCCATCCAGGAGTCTGGGCTGCTGACAGCAGCAGCCTAGAACTCAGAATCAAGACAACCCCAGTACTCATGAGGCCTCCAGCTGACTGACCATTACAGACGCCCTTTGGGGCGCCCACCTGGATGCCCCAGACAGAACAGGCAGCGCGCGTCTGTCCTTTCTCGCTGTGTTTGTATGATGCATTCTGGGTCTGTGAATGGTCATGTGGATTAATACTTTTGAAACCCCCTCCCTGTCTTCCACCTCATGTGAACTGGGAGATGGACAGAACTTCAACCTAGGACTTTGACAACCAGTGACAGCAAATGAGAAGGAGCCAGAGTATCACACATCACAGGAAGCTTTATTCATCCGCTGCTGCTCCAGAGAGAGGGTCACGGGGTCACTCACTTTAATATGCTGTCATCTTGGGCTGGAAGGTTAGAAGAAAAGCACATGTTACTACACGCAGGTAACCTAGAAAGACGCCAGCTTCCCAGTTGTTTTTGTTTGTTTTTTTGTTTTGAGATGGAGTCTCCCTCTGTCACCCAGGCTGAAGTGCAATGGTGTGATCTCAGCTCACTGCAACCTCTGCATCCCAGGTTAAAGCGATTCTCCCGCCTGAGTAGCTGGGATTACATGTACCTGCCATCATACCTGGCTAATTTTTTTTTTTTTAGACAAAGAGTTTTGCTTTGCTGCCCAGGCTGGAGTGCAGTGGTGTGATCTCAGCTCACTGCAACCTCTGTCTCCCAGGTTCAAGCACCACCTCCCAGGTTCAAGCAATTCTCGTGCCTCAGCTGAGTAGCTGGGATTACATGCCTGCCACCATGCCCGGCTGATTTTTTGTATTTTAGTAGAAATGGGGTTTCACCATCTTGCCCAGGCTGGTCTCGAACTCCTGAACTCAGGCAGTCTGCCTGTCTCGGCCTCCCAAAGTGCTAGGATTACAGGCATGAGCCACCACACCCTGCCATGCCCAGCTAATTTTTGTAGAGATAGGGTTTTATCATGTTGGTCAGGCTGGTCTTGAACTCCTGACCTCAGGTGATCTGCCCGCCTCGGCCTCCCAAAATGCTGGGATCACAGGCATGAGCCACCATGCCTGGCCAGCTTCCCTGTTTTTAAACAATCCACATCTACTTAGCTCTGCTTGAATGTCCTTCTCCATTTTCCTTATCCCTGCACAAACCTGGGAGGGACAATCTATAAGAGCTAGTGTCACACGTACCTTCTGCCAATTCTCTGGCAATCCGTTTCAGTTCATCCTGCCTCTTCTTCTCCTCTGCTTCTATCCTCCTCTCCTCTTCTGCCCGAGGTTTTAGGTAACCTGTTTGGGGGAATGCAGGGGAATAAACTTCACTGGAAATGCTGCATAAAAGGAACTGAGTCCACAGGTCAAGGTATCTTCAGCGACGCTGTGAACCAGAAGCACCTGCTGTCCCCTCTCTTTATGTCAACGAGAGTCAACGCCTGACCTTCACCCTAAAGAGTCCAATCCAGAGGCTACAGGGTCCCTGCTGCCCACCCCCTCATGCACTGGCTCACTCGTCCTCTGTGAACAGGGACTGCCTCCCGTCAGATCTCAGCACTCCAACACCCACTCAGCACCCGTTTTCAACAAGCAGCAGCCGTTTTCGAGTCCCCCGCCCGAGTCTCAGAGGCCTGAGCTTTGGGTGAGCTGTTTCCACTCTAGGGGTCCCGCTCGGTGGAGGACACGGTCTGCCTCGCATGAGTCCCAGCCCCACTTCCAGAGCTGGAGTTCACCAAATGGCAGATGAAGAACTTCACAGGAAAGCCGAGCAGATCCCGCCCCGGCCCCGGGACCGCCCGCGGTCACTCACTGTAGCGCGTGGCTCCGTAGGCCATACCGAGGAACAGGGCGGAGTAGCGGCCGAGCTGCGAGAGAGGTTGATCAGAGGCGGCGGGAAACCGGACTCGCGGGATGGGGGTCGCGGGAGGAGAGGGGATGGGGT